CACCCTGTGGAACGAACTCCCCCCAGAGATCCGGATTATTCCGGATCTCCCCTCCTTCCGCCGTGCCCTCAAGACATGGCTTTTCCATCAAGCGGGATTGGCCTAGGGGGGGATTTTATAGGGATTTTAAAGGGATTTTATAATATTAAACTTAATACAGGTTATTTAATATATATTTTAATTTGGCTTTTAGAGATATGTATTGTATTGTACTGTTTTTATTTACCTGTAAGCCGCCCTGAGTCCCTCGGGAGAAGGGCGGGGTATAAATGGGATTAAATAAATAAATAAATAATAATACCTGTGGCCAGTGCAGGATCTCCAGATGTTTTCAGGCTGTGTTTGACCCCCAAATGAAACCTTGTGTCTCCACAGGTGAATATTTTATTGTGGAGGCTGATATTGAAGAGTTCACCCCGCTGAAGGTTGACAAACGTTTTCACAGCATCCTGACTATCTTGCGACATTGCCACCGAGTGCGGGAAATCCGAGGATCCCGGCTTGTCCGCTATGCCCTCTGCTAAAAATTATTGGTCACTGTTGTGGACGTTTGGTTTTTTCCCCTGACAACGCTGCATCTTTGTTTTGCTTCCTTCCTGCCATTATTATTAGAAAAGATGGGTTTTGTTGGCATTAGTAAAATGTTTGTTATGGGACAAAGATTTTAGATTTGTGCAGTGACTGAGACAGCGAAACAATATCATAGCTTTTCCTGCCATCTCCTCATTCCATTTTAATTTTGTACTTGGTGAGTTTAAGACATTTTAATTTGGCATAATAGATGAAGTGTTTGAAGAGATTTGCTCAAAGTTTTTGGAACTTGAGTTTTGGAAGTGGTGTGTTGCTAATAAATCAGAGAAGGGAATAAATGTGCAAAATAACTGCTGGCTCGTGTTTGGATGTATATGTGAGTTTGTGGGAATCACTGTGTGTCTGTTCATGAAGAAATATTGGTGAAGACAGGTTTTCAGCGTAAAGGATTCTTTGGAGGGATGTAAGAGCTTGTAGGGTTTTTCAAACCTCTCAGGATGCAGCTACGCAGCATTGCGTGCCAAAAGATAAGATAATCTTTAGATAAGATAAGATAACCTTTATTGTCATTTTTATACTGTGGGCACAATGGCACACATCAAAAATGAAATTTAGTTGCCTGCTCTCAAAGTGAAACACATACATGACACATACCTAAACATACTATGAACAACATAGGTATAGACCCACATCCCTACATATACGTAGCAAATAAATATTAAATACTGTCCATCTTGAATATATAACGGAAGGAGGAAGCTTGAGAGTTCACAAGGTTAATGCTGTACGGAATGAAAGTCTGGCTGAATCTGGATGTTCTGCTACGGATACCACGAAGCCCCCTCCTCCCAGAAGGGAGCAAGGAAAACAGGTCATGAAGAGGATGTGTAGTGTCCCATACAATCTTGCGGACCCTGCTCAAACAACGCTTCTGTGCTATGTCCTGGATGGGAGGGAGGGAGCTGCCAATGATCTTTTCTGCCGTCCTCACCACTCTCTGCACCGCTTTCCTGTCTGAAGCAGGGATGCTTCCAGGCCAGACTGTGATGCTGTGTGACAGGATGCTCCCGATCGTCCCCCTGTAGAGATAGTTCCCCCCACCATGCCATCACTCTGCTCAACATCTAATTCCCACAGCACTGTCTCATGTCTGTGGGTATTTACCCTGCTTTGCTATTATCCTTTTCATCTTTTTCTACTACCTTCTCTTATTAGTATCATTATAATGATTATTATTACTCTATTCGTTTGAGAGTTTATGCACAGGAGAGAAATTCCTTGTGTGTCCAATCACACTTGGCCAATAAAGAATTTGATTCGATTCAATTTGTTCTATTCTACCGTATTTCCCCGAATATAAGACCCGGTCTTATTTTTTTTTTCCCTCCAAAAGAAGCACCAGGTCTTATTTTTTTGGAGTGGGGGTGTCTTTTCCACGGTCTCACCTCACAGTGGCAGCAGCACCAACAGCCATACCCGGTCGGCCCACTTCTTCTGCGGCCCAAGGAAATGCCTCGGCAGCTGAGAATGGAGCTCCGGATAGGCCTCTGACAGCAAAATGCAGGCCGGGGGGGGGGGGGCACCACAGAAGAAACAGGCTGGCAAAGCAAGGCAGGTGTCGATTCACGGGAGGCCCGGCTGCCATGGTAAGCAGGTGTGGGGCACGTGGGGTAGCTCTAACCCTCCACCTTAGCTTGATTTTTAGGCATGTGCCCAGCCCCAAAACTAGGGTTTATTTGGGGGATAGGGCTTATATTAGGCCCACCCCCCAAAAAAATCAAGCTAGGGCAGTGATGGCGGACCTTTTAGAGACTGAGTGCCCAAACTGCAACCCAAAACCCATTTATGCATTGTCGAGTGCCAGGTGGGTGTGACCCGTTGGGTGGGCATGGCCCATTGGGTGGGCGAGGCTGCGGTGGTAACGGCAGACTGGGTGGGACTAAAAAGTTCAATCAATCAAGTCCAACTTTGCAAGGTCTTTTTTCCCGCGAGAAGTTGAAATTGACTGATTGAACTTTTTTTTTTTTTGCACACGGTGGCGGAGGCCTAAAGCGAAAAGTTTTATAAAACCCAGCTGAAGGCCTAGGACTGGGGCAATGGCGCGCGTGCCCATAGAGAGGGCTCTGAGTGCCGCCTCTGGCACCCGTGCCATAGGTTCGCCACCACTGAGCTAGGGCTTATGTCCGGGTAGGTCTTACTTTCAGGGAAATGTAATATTTATTTGATTCGATTATTCTGTTCTGTTCTATTGATTCTATTCCGTTCCCTTCTATTCCATTCTCATGCTGAAAACCTGGAATCGTTGAAATACATATTGACTGTTGCACACTGTATGCAACCCCAATATATGTTAGCAATCAGTTCTTTAAAAATGCCCCAGGTAAGTTTACCTTTTTTCAGCTCTCTGTATTACTAGCACACCACACTAGATCGGCTTGTGTGCTCTGTCCTGCCACAAAACCAGCAGCTGACCCTCTGCCCAAATACCCATCGCAGGTGGCAGCTTCTGCCTGCATAGATTAGGTAAAACCTTCAAGACACGCTCGACTCCTGGTGACTTCATGGATTCAATGATGTTGGAAGCAGAGAACAGACGTGGTGAAATTACTTCGAGGGAATGCCACAGGAAACCGACATTTTGTGGCTGGCCTTCACAGAGCAGGTCTGAAACAACTTGACAACAAAGGTCACATCCTTAAGAAAGGACTGCGTTCAAAGCCGCTGGATGTCCATGGCCAATTGTTAACCACGAAGATGACAGGGGATAACCTTTCTCTTTTTGCTTTTGGGAATAAATAATCCTCCTTTCTTCACAGCTGTCTGGATTTCATTTTTATTTATCGTAGCGCAAACGTGGCTTGAATTGGAACCCCAAATTATTCTTCTAACAATCATCAGGGAGAAAAGCTATGTTGTCGCTAAAAGCTGAAAATAACTTGATGACACATAACCAACCATCAAGTACTCTGAGTAACCTAGATCTCGCTGAACTATAATTCCCAGCATCCCTCAGTATTGTTCCTGCAATTGTACGAATTGTAACCACAAGAGCAGGAGTGACAAACTGCCAGCCCACAGGCCGAATGCATCATGCCGAAACCGCACCCACCCCATTGCTGGCATTGGGAAAAAAGTTGCGATATGTTGTGACGTTGTGACACGTCGCGTGGCATTGCGAGTTTGACACCCCTGCACTAGAGGATGTAAATAGTAAATCAGTCTATGATCTTTATTGGGTGATAGCAGATTTGTACAGTAATAATAATAATGATAATGATAATGATAAAGTTGGAAGGGACCTTGGAGGTCATCTAGTCCAACCCCCTGCTCAGGCAGGAAACCCTACACCATTTCGGACAAATGGCTGTCCAGTCTCTTCTTAAAAACAACTGGAGCACCACTTGAACACCATGGGCATTGACAAATTCGCTATTAGTCAATTGCAAAAGGCGGCCTTACTAGGAACTGCTTCCATCATGCGACGAGATCTGTGATACCATCAAACATCCACATCTGCCTATCCCGGGTCCTTGGGAAGGACTCAATAGGTAGACAAAATGCCAAATCCTGTCTGAACATCTGGCTGACTGTGCGATGATCCATAATAATAATAATGTTGGAAGGGATCTTGGAGGTCATCTAGTCCAACCCCCTGCTCAGGCAGGAAACCCTATACCATTTCAGACAAATGGCTGTCCAGTCTCTTCTTAAAAACTTCCAGTGTTGGAGCATTCACCGCTTCTGGAGGCAGGTGGTTCCACTGGTTAGTTGTCCTCACTGTCAGGAAGTTTCTCCTTAGTTCCAGGTTGCTTCTCTCCTTGATCAGTTTCCATCCGTTGCTTCTTCTCCTGCCTTCAGGCGCTTTGGAGAACAGCTTGACTCCCTCTTCTTTGGGGCAGTATGGTGAGTTTCTTTTTAAAAAAAAAACATGTTTCAAGTAGCAGTTGTAGCAGTATAATGGAGCCCAAATATCTCTTGGTCTGCCTTTTCCCTACATGTAAATCATAAGGCGATTGTCTAAATCTCATTTAAATTGAGAGCTTAGCGCTGAGCTTTTGCTATTAATTTCAGTGGAATTTAAACATGCTTAATGGCCTCTGAAGTTGTGCCCTCTGTCAAGTTATTAAAAGGCCAAGTTCATTTAGCTTTGCTTTTCGGAGACATTTTAAGATTATATGTTACCGTTAGCTATTTAAATTCCAGCTTATCCCTCTTAGTATATCTCTACTTAAAGTTTGTTCTGCAAGCCTTTGGCAGGGAAAGAGGATAAAGAATTCTATTTTCTTAGCTTTTTGTTTTTCTGTTTGGGACAGACCGCCTTCTTTGATCAGGATTTAGCTCAGGGGTAGTCAACCTTGGCTCTTTTATGACTCGTGGACTTCAACTCCCAGAATTCCTGAGCCAGCTAAGCTAGCTCAGGAATTCTGGGAATTGAAGTCCACGAGTCATAAAAGAGCCAAGGTTGACTACCCCTGACTGGTCGGGACTGTTCATTTTTCTCTCTAATTCTTACTTAAAAGCTTGAGTGATCAATCTTGCCGAGTATCTTTTTTTAGTAGCATTTTTATATAAACATATTTAAACAAAGAAAGGGGGGAAAGTGAGCAACGTAATAGTTTTTCCTCTTTCCCTTGCCCCCCCTTTTGCATTTCGGGAGAGAGTTAAAGATGAAATGAGTGACCCAGCCCCCTATCAGGAGTGCTATTCTCAATGTGCTACCACGTTTGCTTCAACCCTCAAACCAACATAGGGGGTTCTATCCTGGCTTAGCACAAATGCAAAACTTTGGGCCAGTCACTCAGCCCAACTCACCTGACAGGGTGGTTGTGGTGGAGAAATAGGAGAAGGAAGGAGAACTAGGGATGTTCACCACCCTGAGGTACTTATACAGTAATAAAGGTGGGATAAAAATCTGATAAACATGTTTGTTTCGAGCCTTTATCCTGATTTGTTTCTGCATTCCTGATAAATCTTTGACCCCAACCTATATACACACGTAGCTTTTCTGGGGAATTTCTGGCTTCTCCAGGACTATGATTCCAAAATGTGATGGTTCATGCTTCTGCAGATGTTCTTTCCAGAAATAAAGGCCATCATACATACATGAAGGTCTGCTGGTTGTATCTAAACAAAAATGGCTCTTCTGCTGAGGGGCTGTCACAGAAAAGATGGGTCAACCTATTCTCCAAAGCACCTGAGGGCAGGACAAGAAGTAACAGATGGAAACCCATCAGAGGAAGATCCACGTGGATCTAAGGAGAAACTTCCTGACAGTGAGAACAATTAACCAGTGGAACGGCCTGCCTCCAGAACTTGTGGGTGCTCCATCACTGC